TTGGTCAGCACCCCCACCTGTGGTCCCCGGAACCCGCACACTCACAGACGCAGGGGGCGGGGAATCCCCGTTCCTAAATTCAGGGTGTTTCCTCGCCTGAGCTGGGCCCTCAGCAGTCTGCTCTACACAATCCCTCCAGGGCCCTGGGGACACTGGGCAGAGGAGGCCTGGCTTCTGCCCACACCCGCTGGGTCCACTGTGACCCAGACGGAGCCCCTGGGCAGAAGCCTGCAATGGAAGGCTCTGTCCGCGCTCAGCGGGCGGAGGCCCTCTGTTCCGGGGGGGGGGGTGCTCTGTGACTTCAGTGCAGTCTGTCATCAGAGAGCAGGGGGGCGGGGGAGAGTTGGGGGCACGCAGCTCTGGACACGAGCGAGAGCCAGCCCCTGCTGACAAAACTTGTCCCGTCAGATGCCTGTGGCCCTCAGAGAGCGTGGTGGACCCTTTGTGTCTCGGGGTTTGCAGCCAGCTCCCAGACTGGCCGCAGCTGCAGCAGGGCAGGGGGGCCGCCCAAATGGACCAGGCAAGCCGGGGCTCCGGTCAGACCGCATCAGGGCCCCGGAGGGCAGCCACTGCGGGCTCATCGCTTCAGATGACGCGGGGCTTGGGGGTGTGGCTCCCTGTGGCGGGGAAGCCGCAGGTTCCTGTGGCCCCGCGGGCACGCTGCTCTGCAGACCCTCCAGCGGCGTCCCCGGGGGCAGGGCAGAGGCCACCAGAGCCTGCGCCCCAGGTCCAGGCAGCAGCGGGCGGTGCCACACGCCGGCCTGGCAGGAGCGGGTGCCTCGGTTCGCTCGGAGACCCCCTTCCACGCGAGTCTTCCGAGGCCAGCCCTGCTCAGTGCCGGCAGAGCGACTCCGCTGGCTTCCCGTGCAGATCGCCACGCTTGCGTGCCGCGTGTACAAGCGTTTCCGAAGACAGGGGCCCTGGACACCCAGGCGGGGACCAAACCCGCACAACCCACATTCTAAAACAGGCAAGACTCCGGAATCGAAGGGAACTGTGCTAATTAGCCGGGCCTTTCCGCATCTGCGGTCACACGGGCTCAGCTCCTCTGGGGCTGCTGAGCCTGCAAAGGCGTATTAACGTTCTAGTTTTATGGATTCGACTTCCGTTGGGAGATTGTAACATAACTTCCAGAGTTAGGAGTCCAGAGAGGTAATTGTTGCAGAAATAATTTGATACACCGTAAATCCCTCTACTTCTGTCCCTTCAAATGGGATGCTAAAAGCGATTACGGACTGAAAAAACGTATCACAAGCAAATCCACGAGATGAACTGTAATCACTCAGCCGGATTAACCGGGGCTGGGAGGTTCTGCTCCCCGCCTGTCCACACCCCAAAATTGTCAGAGGGCGGGGAGAGGCTGTGCGCATCTGACCTGTCCTTTTAGGAAAACAGGACTCTTGTCCTTCCCTGAATGTCCCCAACCTGCAAGGGCTTCTGGCCTGGGACGCCCACTAGCCTCCTTGTAAGACTCCCCGCGGTGCAGCCGCCTCGGGGAAACTGCAGAGAAAGCCTGTGGTGGGGGGTGACGCTGACGAGAGCTGACAGCTGGGAGCAGTGTGGCTGGTCCGGGAGTCTGCCTGGAACCCATGCCGGCTGGCAGGACCAGGGGACGCCCCTGGGGACAGAGCAGGTTTGGGTCAAGTTCTGCTCCCCAAGTTTGGATGCCAAACCCTGATACAGAAAAGCAGGGATGTGGTTTTAAGGGAGCGAATGTCCTACCTGAGGAAACACGGTTCTCGGGGTGTTAGTGGTCCAGGGCACCGCTGGGACCAAACGTCCTGGGGCCCCCCTGGGCAGGTGGCAAAACTCTCGCCAGCAGTTTGGCCTGGTCCTGACCCCAGGGTGGCAAACCCCAGGGCTGTGGCAGAAACCCGTGTGCAGGGGCTGTTCAGGGAGGTGGAGGAAGGGCGGCGGGGCTGTCCCGGGACAGTCTGAGCTTAAGCAGCTTGTTCAGTAACCTGCGGGTCCTCCAGTCCCACCTGGCGAGCAGGGGGCTAGCAGGCACACCCGTCAGTGAATGGAGTCGGGGTGCAGGGCCATGGCCGGGCTGCTGCCCTCTCCTGACCCCAGAAGGGACCCCTGCAGAGCCACCTGCCCCAAGCACCCAGGAACCCGGCTTCCGGGCTCCTGACCTGGGCTGGAGTGAAGCTTGGCCAGCATGATGCTGGGAGGCACCTGGAACCAGTGACCAGGTGGACGGACGCATGGCCACCAGTGCGGGGTAGGAAAGGGCCGTGGCTCCGCTCGCTGCCCTGGCCCAGCAGACTCGTGAGCCAGGAGTGAAGAGGAACAAGCGTGGGTGTGTCCAGCTCCAGAATCGCCTGCCTGCATCAGTTACTTATTATCACAGCAAAGGAAATAGGGCACTTCAGACATTCACGTTTCCAGGCTACAGCTGCAGGGGGGGGGGGGGCACTGAGCCGCTGCGGGCGGGGGTGGGCGGGGGTGGGCGGGGGCTGGTGCTGAAGGGAAGGCCCACTAGATTGTGAAGCCCTTGAATGAAAGCAGAGCAAACTGTCTCCCTAATCACTTAAAAGTGTGGGTAACATGTTGAAAAAATTCTATTTCTCGTATGCTGATAAAGTTACCGTTAACACGGATAGATCGGATTCATTTTTTGCGGCTCTGAATCCACTCTGTCCGCCTCGGCACTGGAAGGTGTGGCAGGCACCCTCTGGGTCGGGGACGGACCTGAGCGTGGGCACCGAGGAAACGCGGGTCCTCCTGTCACTGGCCGTACAGGGCTGCAGAAGCCGGGCCTCTGCTGGCCAGGCGGCTGGGGCGTCCTTCCAAGCGGACCCGCAGCGGGGGGTCCCCCGCCCCGCAGGAGCAGGGCCCTGGGGCCGACAGCTGGAGTCCCGCTGATGTTCCCAGAAGGTCTCGGCCGGAATCCGGCACCTCTGGGTGGTCGTGCTGGGGGCGGGCGGACCGTGGGGAGCAGGGCCTTTGGCGTGGAGAGAGTTCTCCAGCACCTGGGTCGTGGGAGAACCGGGAGTGCGTGGTGCCACCTGGGGCGACGCCAGATGACGTCCACTCCAATGCACCAGCCTGCTGGTCAGCGGCGCTGCTGAGGACCGGCGGGGCTTCTGTTAGAAAAGGCCGTCAGCTGAACCAGGGGAAGGCGGCTGACTTCGGGGGAAGAGGGGAGGCACAGCTTTGCCATGGGAAAAAAACTTTTCATTTCATTTAACTTTTACTCTGATCACTTAAATGGTTCTCTTAGAAATTGTTACTTTTCACCCAACAGAGATTTTTTCCCCTTTACTTTGCCTGATTTCATGTGCTGTTTGCAGGGAGGCGTTCACACTCAGAGACCCCGACACTCCGGTGTAGGAGCCTGTAGCCCACGCTGCCCGAAAACCGACATCAGGAGCTTCGCAAACGAACACCAACTTGGGGCTGCAATGGAATCATATTCAAACAAATCAGCTGACACCAAACACTTTATTCTGAAGTCAAACGGGGCGGCAGACACGGGTCAGATTGTGAGGATGAGGGGGGTCACTTTGGTGTGACCCCCGCCCCCCCCCCAGGAAGGACCTCGGGTGGGCCTCTCTCCAGAGGGGATTTGAAACAGAGTTTCCAACCCTCAGCTAAACCCAGACCGGTGTCTGTTGCAGGAAAAAGGCCATGAAAAAAAATGGAAACGCGAAGGAGCAGAGACACCGGTATTACGTACCCGTCTTGATGAATAAAACTGAACCACACGCTTCATTTTGCAAACTGAAAAGGGCCTCTGCAATGTAGGAATTAAAGCTAAATGCTGCCGACAGGGCGCTTTCTAAAAGGGCGGCCGGCCCCTCCCCGGTAGCATCGCGTTAACGACAGCCGGGAAAATGGGGTTAGCGAAGCCGGAGACTGGCAGAGCAGCCTCGCACCCACCGGCGGAGCAGCTCCGTCCCCCGGGCGCCGGCAGGGTATGTGGGGCTGGGCCCCGGCCGGGCAGAATTCTGAGCTGCCAGACCACGTCAAAGAGACCCCTCCCCCATCATTCTTCCTGGGTCCTGGGCGGGGCGCGGGCCCCTCGCGTACTCACCCCTGGCCCAGCTTCTTCCCCCGAAAACCTGTGGGGTTGGTGGGGAGGGGGCTTTACTGGATCGCCGGGGCTACACCAGGCCCTCCTTTGACGCCCCACGGCCAAGTGTGGGCGCAGGAGGGGCTCACTCCTGCTACGTGCAGCCGCCTTGAAGCAGAGGGCGCAGGGCGGTCGCCATTTAACTCCACCGGGGCCGCCCCTGGGGAGTCCACGGGCTATTCCGCGCACAAATCCCGCAGGTCTGGAGGCAGCCGGCGTTGGCGTCCACTCACCTCCAGAGGTTAGTTAGGCAAGAAGATAAACGCACTGGGACTTGGGAGAGCCCAAAAGCCAGCACCGGGCTCTCCTTGGCTTCGCAGTCCAGCTCCTCGGCAGAGGGCAGTTGCTGAGGGCGCATGGGATCCCGCGGCGCAGGGCCGCGGAGCCTGCAGAAGCTGGCGGTGCCCGGCGCTGCACGTCTTCGGGATCCCGCCCACCCAGAGCGCAGCCGGGCAGCGCGGTAAGAGCAGCAGACCGGGACGAGGACGGCCCCAAGGCGAGGGCCACGACCCGCTGAGCAAGCTACGCTGCGTCCCTGCGCTCCGCGAGCCCCCAGAGGAGCTCGGGCTGTTGCCGCGGGACCACCCGCCAGGGGTCTCGGCAGCCGCCCTCCCGCTGTAACCTGGGTTCTCCTTTGCAGGTGAGCAGCGCCACCCCAAAAAGCGCTGTTGGTCATCACTACCCGTCCCCCCACTCCACGGCTGGGGGCGTTGGGAAGGTGCCGAGTGGACGCTTCTGACTCGCGGGTGAGGATTCCAGTGCCGCACTCAGAGCTGGATCCTGGGTCCGGAGGGCCTGTGCGTTTCCTGCGGCCCCAAGCTGTTCAGCCTGCACCGGCTGGGAGCGAGGTCCGGGTGACACAGTCATCGTGGGCGACGTGAAATCCAGGACGCGTGCCGAAGGAGGGGGCGGCCCGGGGACCCTAGCACTTCTCCTCACAGTGTTTGCACAGGGCCGAGGGCGTCCCGGAGAAGGCGGCGCACTTGTCTGGGCAGGGCAGCGCGGCGCCCGCAGAGAAGGGGTACACCGCGGCCTGGCCGAAGGGCGTGAGCGGCGCGGCGGCCACGGGCGCGCCCAGGCCCTGGCCCTGGTGGAGGTAGGCCACGAGGCGCCGCATCTCGTCCAGGGCCTGCGCCTGCATGAGGATGTAGTTCTTGGCCAGCAGCAGCGTGGCGATCTTGGAGAGCTTGCGCACCGACGGGCTGTGCGCGTAGGGGATGACCGCGCGCAGCCCGTCCAGCGCGTCGTTCAAGTCGTGCATGCGCCGCCTCTCGCGCGCGTTGATGCTGAGCCGCAGCGAGCGCTGCTCCCGGGGCCGCCGCCGCGCGTCCGCTGCGCCCCCCGGCCCGAGCCGCCGCCGCCGTTGCTCGAAGGAGTCGTCCTCGTCGGCGCTCTGCTCGCCGCTGCTCTCGGCCACGCCGGCCGGGGTGCGGGGCGCCGCGGGGAGGTCGCCCCCCAAGTCTGGCGCGCCGTAGCCGCGCGCTACCTCAGGGCCCCGGGCCGCCCCGAGGGCAAGGCCAGCCGCCGCGGCCGCGTAGCCTTGACTCAGCGCCAGGTACCCGTCCCCCGACAGCGAACTGAGCTCCGCCATGGCCGCTGCCGCTCCGCTGCTTCCCGCCGCACGCGCCGGTCCGGCCGTCTGTGGGTCCTGGTGCCTCTGCGCGCCGGGCCGCTGCGGCCCGCCCCTGCCCCGCCTCCCGCTCCGCGCTGCCGGCCCGGAGGCGGGCTCTAGCGCCCAGGCGCCTCACTCTCGCTTTAAGGTGAGCGGCGCCCCGGTGGGACCTCGCGGCCGTCCAATCAGAGAGGACCTGGCGACATCCTCTTCCCAAGCCGGGCTCCACCCGCGCCGCAGACCTGACGGGCAGTGTGGGGGCAGCGCAGAGACGGAGGGGGCTGGGGGGCTGGATGGAGATGCGGTGGGGGCGGGAGACCCACGAGCGTGTTACCAGCTTCTAGACCGCGCCCCCCCTCGTTGCTGCGTCCTGCCACCCCTGAGGTTGCCACCACAAGGCACCCTCGTCTCCCGTGGACACCCACTTCTGTCTGTCCGGTCCTCAGCCCTCAGTCCCTCCAGCAGGAACCGCCTCTGGCACCGCGCGGCACACCGAGGATGTCCTGACCGCCAGGCACGAGTATGTGCGGGGCGCCCAGCGGCTGCATAGCCCGGGGTTTGCACGACGCGAGAGGCAAACCGCGCGCCCCTGACTCTGTCCCACCCCCTCCCCCGCAGGCGCTCCATCCCTGGAGGGATGCTGTGGTCAGGGCTTGGGGCGCTCCCTCCTGGGTGCACCTGCCGGCCTGGCAGAGTCTTGGGGGTGCAAGGGGACGTGGAGACAGATGAGCCAGTTCTGCAGGTGCCCCGGATGGCGAGAGCAGTGGGGGCTGCTGGGGGCCTGGGGACCAATGACATCGGGGTCGAGGGCTGAGGCCAGGGCACGCTATGAACACGCTGGGGGGCATTTGAACCCGGGGAAGGAGGTGTCGCGCCATTTGTGGGGGCGTGGAAATGTCAGGTGGGGTCACGGGCATAAGGAGACTGGCTTTTCCTGCAGGCCAGAGCATCTCTTGAGGGAGATTAAATTAATCCAGTGCATGGCTCTCAGCCCAGGGGATGGTCAGTGTGCAGCAGGCCCGGCCGTGGGGATGTGCAAACTCCGGGCCAGTGAGCAAAGGCTCTGGGCTAGTGTCGGAGGGAAGCACGTTCAAGGTCCCAGAGAAGGGCTGGAGGCGTGTGGGTGTGGGGCAGGCGTCGGGGACCCCAAACCGAGCCAGAAAACGCGTTTTATGGTCAGATGCCGCCACCTGCTGGCTGCCTGGGAGACTGCAGCCGCCGTGAGCGCCTGATCCCTGCGGGCGCCCTGGAGACACGGTGGGAGCAGTGGACCGGGTCACTGGTCACCGGTCACCAGCCCTCCTCCCCTTGGCTGACGCCCTCCCATGAAATCCTGCGCATGGCTGCGGTGAAAGGAGAATGTGTATGAAAGTAAAAAGGCGGCATTCCAGGCTCGTGGCACTGTTCAAAAGACCCGGGTGATGGTTAGGGGCCGGTGTGTGGGCTGGGGGCTCACAGTTGTTCCCTAAGTGGGCGTTTGCCATTTACCAGGGTCAGGCAGACAAAGGGGGTCTCCTGCTCCTGCCTGGCTCACCAACGCAAGGATCGCCTCTGACAAGACCCACCACCCCTCCTCCATTTCCACGCCCCCAAGTGGGGTTGGGGGGCCCCAGGCCCACAGATCTGGGTTCAGGGAAGTAACTTAATGGTGACCCTACTTCCCAGTGCCGACTGCACATCTGTCTGGCTTCTCGTTGAGCCATGACCTGCTGGAAGGAATCCTGACTAAGTTGAATGGGTCTGGAAGAAAAAGCACCCTCTAGAGTTTTCAGTGGCGTGGATCAGTGACAGCTTCAGGCACAGCTAGATCTGGGTGCCTGGTGGTGGTGGTGGTGGTGGTGGTGGTGGTGGTGTGAGGACTTGCTCTCCCTCACCCCACAGCGCAAGGCAGGTGACTGTCTTCCCAGGCCGCTCCCCTGAGGGAGCAGGCGCCTCATTGCCCTCCCAGCATCTGCGCTCCTTTGGCCTGAGTCACATGCTTGACCCTTGTGGTTGGATGGCTGCCCCCCACTACATGGATAGGCACCCGAACATCAGAACCTCCTCCACCTCCTACAAGAGTCTGCTCCTGGAGCTGCCCCTATACCCCTACAGGCCCCATCTCTCCCTGCGGGCCCCTTGGGCCGGCCAGGAAGGGCAGTGGGAGGGTGGAGGGGCCCTCATCTGAGCTGGTTTCTGGAAGGCTTCCTGGGGGAGGTGGCACTGGGGGGCATCCTGTCTGGGCAGATGGCTGCTGTCTTGCCGCCGTCCCTCCCACTTCCTGGGGGCCAGAGCGGCACAGGTGCGCTCTCACCTCTGGGTCAAACCTGGCAGGGGCTGGAGGTGCCGTTTGCTTGGGTTTGCTTTGCATGGGTTCTGCCTTGCCTCTGACTTCCGGTCCCTGCACAGCACGCCCCTCCCCCCGCAGCACGAACCCCCTCTGTACCTCCGCAGGGTCCGGGGGCTAGGACGAGCCCCACTCCGTGTCTGGGCTTAATGCCACTGTCTTTAGCCCTCGTCCAGCTGGCCCCAGGGACCTTCCCCTGGTCTGTCCTAGTGGGTGGGACATGCCAACCAGCCAGACACTTGGACTGACAACCCAAGTTCTGCTCAGTGAGGAGGGAAAGACCAGCCGGGATGGAGAAAATGAGGGCTGTACAGGTGTGTGTGCCTGAGATGGCGGAAACCATCCAGCTCAGAGCCAGCAGGGCTGCCAGGAGGAGGTGCAGCCAGCTGGGTGGCCCAGCACCAGCGGGGTCCTGGGGGGTGGCAGGGCCCAAGGAGGACAGGGCAGCTCACCACCCTGGCACCACTCGGAGGGCGTGCAAGACAGTTACAGTAGTAGACTCCACCCCCAGTCTCCAAATTAGGCAAATATGAGGACTTAAAAACAGGGCGGGACAGCAGAATTATTCCACGTTTTCTGCGGAAGGTGTGGCTCCAGAATGAAGTGCTCTGGGTGCCCCTTTTCCAAGGGCCCCGCGCACCTGCCAGGTGCGGGGCAGGGACAGCAGAGCTCAGGACACAGGGCCAGGCCTGAGCTGGCGGCTCCTTCCAGCCTGTCCTGGGTGGGGGTGGAGGTGGGGCTCGGCCTGGGAGCTTGAGGGTCACCCCCTGCTCTTCCAGAACACGCCCTGCTCCCCAACCTGCTCTCTGCGAAGTTCATGTAGGGACGGGGGTGCCCTCCTTTTAACAATGGCTTTAGGAGGCTTGGGTCTCAGAATAGGTGGGGACCTTGTTCAACACAAGAGGCTGCCCCACTGTGGTCTGAGCAGGAGCTCCATGGAGGCCCCGGCCATTTCCTTGCTGGCGACAATTTCTACCATCTCTGGTGAAGGCTCTGAACACTTCCAACCTTTCTCTGCAAGCCTTTCAGGTCTCATTCTGCGGCCCAGGCCTACACACCCCCCTCCTTCACATTGACCTCTCAGCCCGGGCTGGATCACAGGGTCCTGGGGTGCGTTCCAGTTCTGTCCCCTGCATGTCCACTGGACAGGGGCTGGGGCAGTGTCCTGGGGTCTGTGGGTGGGGCTCTCTGGGCACACACACCTGCCGCAGCTTCCTCCTTGGTCTTGGGTTCGAGGCTGTGGAGGAACAATTTCCTAAGTGGCCCTTCAGAAGCTGGTCTGCAGTGGCTTCCACACAGAGGCCAACGAGGAAGAAGAAACATTTCACGGCCCGGGCCAGGGTCGGGGGACACGAAATAGCTCCACCCCCAGTGAGGACAGGCTTCCCCCGAGGGACTGGGGGCCCTGCCTGCAGCGTCCCCTCCCTCATCCTCTCAGGGGGAACCTCCGCCTGCCCGGTGCACCGCTGTGTGTGCGTGGCAGCTGTGCTGGGGGGGGGCCTGGACGCAGGCACCTGTCTGGCCCGTGGGAAGTTTGGAGCCACCTGGAGGGTGGAGGGAGCGCTGGACGGGGGTCTGGGCTGTGGTCCAGCCTGGTGGCCTGAGCAAACCCAGGGAGACGTGGGTGCCTGATGCTGCATTCACCAGGGGCCCCGGCCCCCCAAAGCTGTGCGACATCGGCTAACATTGGCTCCTCAGGTCCGGGGGCACCAGCACCTGCCAAGGCCCCGCACGGCACGCACAAGGGTCTCTGTCGTTGTCTACGGGCCCCTCCCCGGGCAGGAGAAGACCCCGCCGTGGAGCCGGCTCAGAGGAGGTGCCCCTGGGCCGCTCGTCGGCGCGGTGCCGCCTCCTAACAGCAGCTGTGGCGGGAGGGCGGGGCATGTCTGCACCCCCATTTCACGGTGATCAGGAAGCTGCCGCCCTCCCCCCAGAGCGGCAGGCCATGGTGGGGTCTCCTCCACAGCACGAGTTCTCTGCGGAAACTCTGGGATTCCGCGTCAGTCTCATTGGCAGAGTTAATTCCCGTGCCCTTTCCGTCTCCATTCTCCGCTGAGTGAGCAGTGCTGTCTTCCTGCTTTTTCTCCTGTGCGTCTCCTGGGGGCCTCCCTGTGCGCCACCACGCCCTTCATCACCACCACGATCACCACCACCATCAGCAGCAGCACCATCATCATCATCACCATCACCACCACCATCAGCAGCACCATCATCATCACCATCACCATCACCATCACTGACCAGTATGTGAACCATGTGCACTGAGGGCCGTGACCCTGCTGCCCCTGTTTTAAGTGAGAAAACCACCCACTGCTCTTTCTCACAGCCGCCCTGAGGTCAGGGCTGACCCACCTGGCCCAGGCTGCAGAGGCCAGCCCTGTACCCGCCCCAGGCTCGGGGCCCCACAGCTCGGCCGGAGACCCTCAGAGGCCACAGCGGAGGCACAGGTGAGCGGAGCTGGGAGGTGGCGAGCGGGGACCTGGGGACTCACTGGGGGCCACCTGCAGGCGGGACTGCCTGGTGTGAGGGTCCCTGCGAGAAGCGCCTGGATAAGGGGGGGCCGTGAGGCCCGTGTCCAGGTACCCAGGCTGGAGACGCACGTGCCAGTCAGGACGACCTCGGGAGGGGTCCCTGAACCAGTGGGTAGAGAGCG